ACCAAGGTCAAGGTCTGTGAATAAATTGATTGGCCATATTTCATTCAGCCCCATCTTCAGAAAGTCACTTCCATGACCTGAGTAAGAGTGAATCAGGTATGATACTAAACTGTTTATTAAACCACTTCTATGTAATTATCTCTCTTTAACCTATTTCTGTTCTCTCTGGAGGACATAACTAGATTAATTCCAAAATTCACTTTTGATATTTTTATGTTCATACACGAAGTACAGCACATTGATAGACCATTATATAAAGGGAATTTGTGAATCTCAAACAAGAAGAAATGCACATGTAGAGCTTTTCTCCCTATGCAGTACCCACCCCCTTAAAAAAAAAAAAAAGCACTGCTTTTGTCCAGTTGGACATGGTAGACCATATTTAGTGGAGTATGTCTGATGACCCTTGGGAAAAATCAAAGAAGTTCTTTTCTCATTGGATGGGATATAATCTCTGTTTTTTGATTGGGAAGTTTAATCCATTTACATTTAAAGTAATTACCAATAAGGAGGGCCTTACATCTGTCATTGTGCTATTCATTTTCTATATGCCTTATAATAGCTATTTTGTCCCTCATTTCCAGCATTACTGTCTTATTTTGTGTCTGGTTGATTTTTTTTTTTTTTGTAGTGAATTGTTTAAATTCATTTCTCATTTCCTTTTCTGTATACTCTATAACTATTTTCTTTATGGTTACCATTAGGATTATATTAAACATCCTAAAGTTCTAACACTCTAATTTGAATTTATGCCAGCTTAACTTCAATGATATTACAAAAACTCTGCTCCTTTACAGCTTTGTCTCCATCTCTTTTCAGTTGTTTTTGCCACAAAATTACATCTTTATATATTGTATGCCAAAAAACATAAATAAATATTTTATTTTATACATTTATTTTTTTTTAATTTTTTTTCAACGTTTATTTATTTTTGGGACAGAGAGAGACAGAGCATGAACGGGGGAGGGGTTAGAGAGAGAGGGAGACACAGAATCGGAAACAGGCTCCAGGCTCTGAGCCATCAGCCCAGGGCCTGACGCGGGGTTCGAACTCACAGACCGCGAGATCGTGACCTGGCTGAAGTCGGACGCTTAACCGACTGTGCCACCCAGGCGCCCCTGGAACTAGCACATTTAAAATATTTATTTATGGGGGAAACAATCGAATGTTTCCGATTCTGTGTCTCCCTCTCTCTCTAACCCCTCCCCCGTTCATGCTCTGTCTCTCTCTGTCCCAAAAATAAATAAACGTTGAAAAAAAAATTTTTAATGTGCTAGTTTCTTAAATTATGTAGAAAGCAAGATTTGCAGTTACAAACCAAAGTTAGAATAATACTAGCTTTTACATAGAAATTGTTTTTTCTTTAAATGTATTAATCTCTTATCATGTAGAAAACAAAAAGTACAGTTACAAGCCATCATTACAATTAATTTTTAAATTTTTGTGTATTTGAATCAATCAATACTTTCATTTATAGCTTCAGATTTTGACTCATCCTTTAATTTTTTTAAGTTTATTTATTCACTTTGAGAGAGACAGAGAGAGAGTGGGGGGGGGGAGGGGAAGAGTGAGAGAGAGAAGAATCCCAAGCAGACTCAGCACTGTCAGTGTAGAGGCCGATGCAGGGCTCGAACCCACAAAATGTGAGATCGAATGTGGTTTCTGAGCCGAAACCAAGAGTTGGACGCTCAACTGACTGAGCCACCCAGGCACCCTTTGACTCATCCTTTAAAAATCTTTTCCCTAACAGCTACACAAAAATCAATTCCAGACCTAAATGTAAAAGCTAAAATAACAAGGAAAGAAAAAATAACAGGAGAGTATCTTCATGACTAGGGGCAGGGAAAGGTTTCTTTTAAAGGACACAAAAGCAGATAATTAAACTTTATTAAAATTGGTAATTTTTGTTCATAAAAAGACCAACAATAAAAGAATGAAAAGGCAGACCCCAGAATGGGAGAAGATATTTTCTTCTCTTTACAGTGCAACAAAGAACTTGATCCCAAAATATCTATCTATATGTAAACCATTCAACAAATGAATAAAGAAAAGATAGTAACCCAATGTAAAAATAAGCAAAGCACTTAACAGGCACTTCACACAAAAAAGGATACCCAAGTGGTTGATAAACTTATGAAAAGATGCTGAACATAAACATCTTCAGGGAAATAATTGCAAATTAAAACCACATTTTGCTAAATGACACATAGCTAAGAGATTTAAATGTAGACAGTCTGTTAACCTCTCTTGCTCTTTTTAGTAATATTTATATTGAGAAAATTAATACCTGTCCTTAGAGGAATTTATAGCCTAAGTGAAATAAAAGAAAACAGATAACTATGTACTGGACAGTGAATTGTGTACTAACTCCAGAGCTAGAGACACAGTGAGTACATTCTTTACCAAAAGTCAGCACAAATAGACTTAAAATGTTCTTAAGCCTTCCATCTTTTTCCAACAAGTTTTTTCTTGTTCTTTGTCAACTCCCCCTAATTCCAGGATGCCTGCTGCTGCAGATTAGCCCATTGAGAGTCTCAGTGCATAAAGTGACACAAACCAGACCCTTGGCCCTATAAATCTGTCCTCATCCTATCTCTCACTGAACACTTTTAAGAAGTTTAGCCCAACACATCTACCAATGTAAATAGCCTCTCTCCTCCCCATAATAGTTACCATTTAACTAAAAACACCATCTCATTTAATTTGTGTACCAATCCCATCAGGTGGGTATTATTTTCTCACTTAATAAATCATTCCCATTTTACAAGAAATTAGAGGCTTGGAGTGAATAATCCACTTATCCAAAGTCACAGAAATGACAGATTTTAAAAAAAATTAATGTTACATTATGTTTTAGTATATACGCAATCAGGGGATGTAGACAACAGTAAATTTTTAATTAGGATGAAGAATGGAATTTATAATTGTAATCTAGACCTAGAGAAAAGCTAAGATTTACTGAACATTAGATAGATTTTTTTAATATTAAAAAAAGCGCAATTTTTCACTTATTATTTTTCAGTCACTATGCCAGCTACCAAAGATACCAAGATAAGACTTCATAAATACCATCACCTTGGTCATTGGTTCTCAATGTACAGTTCCGAGATCAACAGCATCAGCATCACCTAAGAAACTGTTTAAAATTAATATTTTTAAGCAGCACCTACATTACTGAATCAGAAACTCTCAGGATGGTGCCCAGTAATCTGTGTTATGAATGTTGTAGGTGATCCTGATGCATGAGAAGCACTGCCCTAAATCATCACTCTAGTCTCCCAGGTGAGGAAATTTAGGAGGTGACTTGAGAGTATGGATCAAAACAAAGATTTGCTAGAAACCAGTCTCCACTATGCCAATAATAGAAATGATGGAGATGTAAATATAGGTTTATCCAATCCCAAAATCCACATTTTTTTTAAAGTTTATCTATTTAAGAGAGAGAGAGAGAGTGTGCACACACAGGAGAGAAAGAAGCCCCAAATCCACATTTTCTATCCCTATGCTCCAATGACCCCTAACAGCATGAGCTGTTATTGTCTTTATGGGTCTGGAGAAGTGGGTGCCCATGTCCCTCCTCATAGGCATGCTGTTGGCACCTTGATACTGCCATTGGCGTGGGGGGGGGGGAGTCCTGGGGGGGGTGACATAGCCCCTCCCTCTTAGAGAAAATCTCCTTAAAAGCAAATATGTTGAGAAATGGAGTGGTGTGTGTAGGATTTGGGAGTTATGGGGGGAAGGGGTCCTCCAGAACTTTCACTTGATTGCCCCAGTAAGTCTGACCTCAGGTAAGTGAGACCCTGTCTTCTGAGTTTGCATCTCACCCATCCTTCCCCAGAGCTGTCACTGTGTTCCCTCATCTCTGACTTAGCCCCCACCCCCACCCCCACCCCACCCCACCCTCCACAGTAAGGCTACACTGGGACTATCTGGACCACCCACTGATGATTTCACCCACAATCTCAGCTTCCAGGCTGCTTGGGGTACTGTCCAGAAGGTGGGGCCGGTATTTGCTGAGTAGGAACAACAGAGGACAGGTAGCTGCTCACTCCAGCAAGGTTCCCCTGGTTCCCCACATGGCAGAGCAGACAGAGGCATATTTGTGTCCTAAATAGCTGATGCCTGTTGACAATGACATGGAACTGCCTTCGACTGAGTAGTTTCAAAGTTAGGCATTGATTTGAGGAGGCAGAATGCAGTAGGAGCCTGGGAAGCAAGAAGCCCTCGGAGCTCCACAATCCCAGCACAACGATCACCAAGCACCAGGCCAGTTCTAAATGCTTTACATGCATTAGCTTAGGTAATCCACACAGCAACGCCGTGAGATAGCTACTATTACCATCCACGTTACAGGTAAGGAAACACAAACAGTAACTTGTAATTTGCCCAAGGACAACAGCTAGAAGTACTCATTATTCATCTGTAAACCAGGGATACAAATGCCGGCCCTACACCTACAGAACTCAAGGAGTTTTGTAGTAACTCCTATGTATTGGTAATAAAGAGTATTTCTTAACCTGGAACTGTTACAGTTTTTTCCCCTTCCACCTTTTTAGACAGAGGAAAGTTCCTGGAAAAATCCAAAAGAAACTGGTAACCATGGAAGTGTCTCCACTCAAGGAAACTGAGGGGCTGGGGGACAGGATGGGAAATTTACGTTTCACTGTATTTATCAATATATTTAAATTAGATTTTATGTATGTATGTATGTATGTATGTATGTATGTATGTATGTATGTAAAGTCTGCTTAGCCCCAGGTGAAGCTGCAGCGAGCTAGGGTCCTTTTCCGACCGCACCAAGGAGGGCATTTTTAAATACGGAGTAAGGGAGGGAGTGCCCACCTTGACTTGGCGGCTTGACCGGCTTTGGAGGGTGGGGGCTTCGCAGCGCGCTGGTGGCCCCGCCTAGGCGGCTGGAAGAAAAGGCCGACCCCGGCCCCGCCCCGCCTCGCCAAATTTAAGAGCCCTCGTCCATCGCCGGGAATGCTCCTGGCCAACAAGTCTCTCTCCCTTTTGCGTGGTGCTCCCCCTCGTCCCTCGCGCTCCCTGCACGGCTGCCCACAGGCCGTGGCTTCACTCCCTGTGCCCGACAGGGCAGGGGCCGCGCCATGCCCAGCCCAGTGCCGCGAGGCAGCCGGCCGCCCGCTCCCCCGGGCGCAGGAGACGAGACCTCGGAGCTCCAGCGCCGCCCCGCGGGTCCAGGCAGGCCCCGCGCTCCCGGGCGCCTCGAGTCTTCCTTCTCCGTCGAGGCCATCCTGGCCAGGCCTGCCCGCCGCGCGCCCCCCGCCGCCGCCCCAATGTCCGGCGTCGCCGCGGACCTCGGCTCGGCTCCCTCCCGGTTTCCCGCGACGTGGCTGCCGGCCTACCTGAGCGTGAGTCTCTACCAGCCGTGCCCCCAGCTGCCCCGGACGGGGCTCCGCGTGGCTCACCTCTTCGGGCTCCAGGGCCTCGGCGTCCAGGGCCTCGGCGTCACAGGTACGAGCTGCTCGGGCGCCCGGGAACCGGGCGGGCGGCCGAAGCGTGGCAGCCGCGACAGCGGGCACAGGATAGAGACGTCCCTGAGTTTTGAGAACCACGCACGGTCGGTGGGAAGGGGGCCAATGACCCTTCACCTTGCCGTTGAACCCGAAGCCCAAGAGAGGGACTGGCCGAGAACAGACCACTGCACGAGGCTTCCCCCGCACGCACGCTGCTGAGGTGGGGGGAGATGTGTGTGAGCGCGCGGGTGCAGAGCAGAAGGTGCGGGGAAGGTCAGAGGGGGCCTCGGAAGACTGGGACAAGACCAGCCCTGGAGCTGCAGAGCGTCCCTTCTGGAGAATTAGTCTCTCGCTCCTTCCACAGCCCCTTTGAATAACGACTGTTAGCTTAGACTCTTCCCCAAAGTAGCTCTCTTCTGGAACGCACGGCCCAGTTAGCTGGGAGAAGCGGCTGCTGCGGTGGTGAGGTTCATCGAAGAGCTGTTAGCTGGCAAATGCCGGCACCCCAGTACCGCCTCCACCGCTCACGCCCAGTCCGGGTGAGCATAAAGCCCCACACTTAACTGCTCTCTGAGTCTGCTTGCGTAACCCGCTCTTAAAAGAGGAAACTCGGGCTCTGGGACTCAGGCACTTAAACCCCAAGGAGAATTTAACTGTGTACCTAACGTTCTCCTCTAGCATTTACATCCACCCACAGGAGCTTTTGCCATTTTTGGCAATCTGATTCACGGTTCCCCACCTCCCCTTGAGGAAAACAGGAGCAAGATTAACGCAAGCCTTGTCAACCCATACCAAGATCCATGTAACATAATCTTACCTGGTGCCTACTTCCTGGGTTCTCTCCATTCTGCATTTCCACCCCTTTCAGCTGGGCATTTCTCCACCCTTCCCTTCAGAGAAAGCCTAGGCTCTCAACCCTATCCAGATTCGTGCCACTGCATCTGAGCGACATGCCCAAGTTTCCAAAACAACTTTCCCTAACTGCCTCACACAGCTGAGGTCTGAATTGCAACTTACTGCTTTGTATTACAGTTAATCTCATTTTCAAATTAGTTTTTTTTTTTAATGTATGTTTGTTTGTTTGAGAGTGTGTGCTTGAGCAGGTATGGGGCAGAGAGAGAGAGAGAGAGAGAGAGAGAGAGAGAGAGAGGGAGGGAAGGAGAGAATCCCAAGCAGGTTCCAGGCTGTCAGCGCAGAGCCTGACTCGGCACAAATCCCACAAACCGTGAGATCGTGGCCTGAGCCAAAACCAAGAGTTGGATGCTCAACTGACTGAGCCACCCAGATGCCCCTCAGTTTCAAGTTAGTTTTTGCATAGGTAATCCATTCCTACAGTTCAAACTCCACAATGTTTCCTAAGACAGATGGAGAAGAGTTTCCCCTTATATTCCTGTCCCCCAGTCACCTGGTTAACTCCACCCCACAAGAAGCCAATGACACCAGTCTCTTTATTCTTCCAGGGGCATTTTATGCATATTTAATACCTAAATACGTGTGTGTGTGTGTGTGTGTGTGTGTGTGTGTGTGTGTGTGTGTATCTGCTTCTTAGGCTTAGAGCTGGCTCACTGCTCAGGCCTCTGGGGCACTCCAGACTGGGCTCCAGCCGAGGAACTTCAGGACACTGAGAGACCTCAAAAGAGGGTTCGGACCATGTTTAACTTGAAGCAGCTGGAAGAGTTGGAGAAAGTGTTTACAAAACAGCACAATCTAGTGGGGAAGAAGAGAGCCCAGCTGGCAGCCCAGCTCAACCTTACGGAGAACCAGGTGGGAGCAGGGACCCCTGTGGGGTCAGGGCTGTGCCTGGGGGCAGACACTGCTCTCCAGAAGGCCCTGGGTGAGGTTGAGGGGAAGACATGGGCCTTCTTCCTCTGTGCCAGGTCACTGAGGGAGACAGGCCCTAATCACTGGCACACTTCCTACATGAATGAGGAAAGTAGTCCCGTTTGAAATCACATAATGGGAACAACTATGTTAACCTAGTATTAACCTAGAACTTATGTTTCCATGTTAAAAAGGGAGCTGACCGGGGCGCCTGGGTGGCGCAGTCGGTTAGGCGTCCGACTTCAGCCAGGTCATGATCTCGCGGTCCGTGAGTTCGAGCCCCGCGTCGGGCTCTGGGCTGATGGCTCAGAGCCTGGAGCCTGTTTCCGATTCTGTGTCTCCCTCTCTCTCTGCCCCTCCCCCGTTCATGCTCTGTCTCTCTCTGTCCCAAAAATAAATAAACGTTGAAAAAAATAAATTAAAAAAAAAAAAAAGGGAGCTGACCATGAAGTTAAGTGTGTTCAAGGGACTAAATATTAAAAATAATAATAAATATTCACTAGAACCCTATACTTCACTTGAGCTACTACACCACTTTTCTGCTCTTTTCATAGGCAAACTTCCCATGAATTTGTTATAGTCACTCCATGTCCTCACTTCCCATCTACTTAACTCATTCTGATATGAATTCTTTCCCTACCATTCCATCAAAACTTCTCCTCCAGGTCTCTTAATGACCTCCATGTTGCCAAAGTCAACAGACGCTTTCCTCGTCTTACTCCCCACTCAGTACAGTTGACCTCTCCTCTTATGTAAACACATTCTTCTCTTGGCTTTTGGACACCACATTCTTGGTTTTCCAGCTCTCTGGCCACTTCCTCTGTGTCAACTTTGTAGGGTACTCTTTGTGACCTCGAATTGTCTCTGTAGCTGATCTCATTTATTCCCACGATTTTATTTTATTATTTTTTTAATGTTTATTCATTTTTGAGAGAGAGAGAGAGAGAGAGAAACTGAGCATGAGCAGGGGAGGGGCAGAGAGAGGGAGACACAGAATCCAAAGCAGACTCCAGGCTGAGCCGGACGCTGGGCTCGAACTCACCAACGGTGAGATCATGACCTGAGCTGAAGTTGGATGCTCAACCAACTGAGCCACCCAGGTGCCCCATCATTTATTCCCATGCTTTTAAATACCATCTATAAGCCAACAACTCCCAGATTTGTATCTTAGCTCACTCCTTTTTTTCCTAACTTGTACATTTATCTACCTTCTTTTTTTTAATTTTATTTGTTTTATTTAAGTAATCTCTACACCCAACATGGGGCTCAAACTCACAACCCCAAGATCATGAGTTGCATGCTCTTCTTGACTGAGTCAGCCAGGCACCCCTACCTTCTTTTTTTTTTAAGTTTGTTTATTTTGAGAGAGCACACATACACGTTTGTGGGGGAGGGGCGGAGACAGAGACTCCCAAGCAGGCTCCACACTGTCAGTATACAGCGTACGCAGGTTTGATCCCACCAACCGTGAGATCATGACCCGAGGTGAGATCAAGAGTCAGACGCTTAACCAACTGAGCCACCCAGGCATCCCTCTATCTACCCTCTTGAGGTCTCCACTTGGATGTTTCCTGGGTATGCATTTCAACTTAAGTCTAAACTTGAATTTGTGACCTTTTTCTCTCCAGATCTGTTCCTTTCCCTACTCATGGTCCCACCATCCATCCAGTTGCTCAAAATACCAAGTCATCCCACATTCTTCCTTCTCTCCCACTTCCATTGCATCGGCAAGCCTTGTCACCTCTACCCTCAAAGTACAGCTGGAATCGCTTCATTTTTTTCCATTGCCCGTAGTTCACACCAGTCCCAGCTCTTTCTGGATCATTGCAATAGCCCCCAGCTGTCTCCCTGCATCTCCTTTCATCCTTTCTACACAGAGCAGCCAGATGTGCAATTCACTTGAGATGCAAACAGGACTATGTCACATCCCATTTAGTAGCCTGAAAGCTGACACTCCTTATCCATAGCCTCCATAGTCCTAGGTGATCTGGGCTCTGCTGACCTCTCCATTTTCCCTTCCTTCACTTCCCCATCTCACTCTCAGCTATTTCAGCCACAGTCTCTTTCTTTTTGGTCCTCCAACACACCAAGCTTGGTTCTACCACAGGGCCTTCCTACAGGTTGTCCCCTGCCCCAGCCTGCTTTTCTCTGTTCCCATTAAACTGGCCTCTGATCCGGTGAACCTTAGCGTAAGTGCTGCTTCCTCAGGGAGGGCCAGACCCCTGTTCATACTCGCCTTTGTGTTTATGGATTTGTTTCCATATTTATTTCTCTCTCTCTCTCTGGACTGTGACTTCCATGAGGTCAGGGACCATACCTCTCTTGCTCACCACTGTATCACCATCACCTAGGATGGTGCCTAGTACATAGTAGGAGCTCCATAAATACTTGTTGGATGAATGAATGTGTCTAAAATTATAGGGAAGGGTGTTTTGAAGGAGATGCTTCCTTTAGAAGGAAGATCAAATGTGGACCAGAGATCAGGGGCCACTGTGGGAATGGGGGAAGCAGTGGGAACTGCTGGTCACATTCTAATTTCTGACCATTGCCTCCAATTATAGGTGAGGGTCTGGTTCCAAAACCGCAGGGTCAAGTATCAGAAGCAGCAAAGGCTGAAGCTACCAGCTGTGTCTGCCATGGCTGCCTCCCAGGATGAGCCCTCCAGCAGCTCTGACAGCAGCATCCAGAGAGAAGACACTGAGTCAGGAGTGGACAGCTGAGGACTGGGACAAAGGCTCAACGCAGGCTGTCTGGGCTAGTTCTTCCTGGGGACACCCACGGGAACTTCTGAGCCTTTTTTCTTCATCTGTATAATGGGTGCATTGACAATTTACTCTTCCCAGAGCTGACAGGATGTCTGTAAAGCTGTTACGGGGTGCCAGGCCCAGTGCTAAGTGTTCAGCAAGTGTTAAGGTTTATAAGTTCCCTTCACCTGGGGGTGTGGTGCTTGCAACTGAACTGGCCCCTCCAGGGATTAATCTTTTCCTGGCTTGCCTGTGGAGAAGGGGCTTCCTTGAATCAGTATTTGGGCCTAGAAGCCTCTTCCCCACCAGAGATGGTGGATATGAGAGTAAAGAGGAGGGAAAGGTAAACCATTTAGCCTACTTCAGAGTTTCCCAAAGTTTTCTTGTTTTGTCTGAACTGCTACCACTTTTAGGAGCTCAGCCCCAATTGTCTGCTTAGGCACAGACATGCTTCCCTGACCCCATCTTTTTCCCTCTAGCTACCCACTTTGACCCCTCTCCATCATTGTACAGAGAAATTTGGCTCTGCCTTTGCCAAAGCAGGCATTTTTTCACAAACTCTGCTGTATTTCCGTGAGACAGTTATAATTTTTCCCCTTCAAGCCCCTAACTCATGGTTCCCTTTCCTTCCCAGGAATCTGCTCCGTTTCTAAGAAGCCTGCTGATAGCCTACCCCTGTGAGGCCAGTCACCAGCAATTCCAGAGCTCATTTCTCTAGTGCTCTACATTCCTGGGCAGGCCTCTGTTCAGAGTATTGATTTAGAATCTCCAATGGCTTCTGGGTAGAGGGGAGCTGGTGAAAGGAGGCCTGCCCTGCCACCTGCCGGTGACAGAAGGCACGGTCCCCACTGCTGTCTGCTGTGTTCTGAGGGAGACAGGAAGGGCAGGGAGCAGAGGTGAAAAACCACATGCCTCCAAGTGGTGGTAGACCATCTTCTCCTAGACACTAGGCCACAGGCTTGAGGCCAGGGTCCAGCTTCAAGAACTCTTCTCTCCCCCTGTCTTCAGGGAAATCCTTCCTAATGCTGGACCCAAAGTCCACTCTGTTAATCAAAGGAATCTACCTGCATCTACCACTTCCAGCACCTGCCTCCTCAATTGACTCACCTTTTAAAAATAATTTTAAAAAAAATCAACAGTTAACCTATTCAACAGTTACTAGGGCCTACCCAATCCCCCAATATGACCATGAGACCATAACAGAAGCGGACACATCCTTTTTCAAGGAGCACAGAATCAATTGGAGGACAAGGAAACGACGCATGGTTGTCAGACTTGGCTGTGGGGACAGATGCTGTAAGTCAGTGGTTCTCAGCTTTTTGGGGTCCTGAATGAGAACAGGGCCTTCTGCTGTTCCCAGGACAATATGTATATGTACACTCACTTCTGCACACAATTTCAGGGGTCCTCAGACCTGAGCTCCACCATCTACCCCCTTCTACCACCCCTAGGCTGCAAAGTCCCTTAAGCCCCTGAAGGGTCTGAGAGAAGCACAAGTCCAGCTTGATCTGTCGAAGGGCTGTCTGCCCCGCTGCCAGAAGGCCCAAGGAGAAGGGAATTCTTGCACCCGACTTTGTAGATGGGGAGGTAGGGCAAGCTAGTCGTTCCTTTCAGGTAGAAGGTCAGAGAGGGTATAAGTTGGCCGGCCGCTGTCCCACCCCATGGCTGGATCCAGAGTGCCTGACTCTAGACGGGACACTGGGCGGACAGAGACAACAGACACCAAAACACGAACTGGACACAGATACATCAAAACTATACACACACGCACCGGCTATGATACATAGGTACGTACGAAGACACAGACGCAGAACTGCACAGATGTAAAAAACGCGGACCCAGCGACATCCAGCCATCGAACCAATCGACCTAAACACAGATTAAAGGGATCCCAATTTCCCAATTCGTACTTGCTAGCGCGCAAACCCTGGCAGCCTGGAGACACACTCGCCGGGGGCGGGGCCAGAGAGGGGCGGGGCCCCCCGGGTCGAGGCGAGGTCAAGGGTCAGAAGGCGGAGGCGCGCCCAAGATGGCGGCCTCCATGTGCGACGTGTTCTCCTTCTGCGTGGGTGTGTCGGGTCGGGCTCCGGTCGCCGTGGAAGTCCGATTCGTAAGCAGCGCTAAGGTGAGGCCGAGGCAGACCCGCCAGGGGCACCTACCGTGTCCGGCCTTGGAGAGAGCCCCGCGGGACCCTAGGCCCGGAGCCTAGAAGCTCCTGAGCCGTTCCGACTCTGCGGCTCAGCCCCTCCTCGCGGCCCGGGGGCTCCCCGTCTGTCTCCGCGCGCAGGCTTCCGGGGCGGTCACGCGGTGAATCGGTGGGCTCCGAAGTCTCCGTAGTCTCCGTGCGCGCCCCCTCCCTACGGGACCCGGTGCGCCCTCCGGCTGCCCTGCTCCTGCTGCTCCAGGCGGGGCCGGGTGGGCGCCGGGCCTTTTGGTCCAGGCTGGAGTACTCTGCTGCTGGGCCGTGGGGGTGGTGGGCGGGGACTGGCGGAGCAGAGGGTACTGAGGTATGAAAAAGAGTGGGCCCTCGGGGAACTTTCTGAGTGAGATTTGGGAATGGGGTGGGGAGAGAGGCCAGGACCCTTCACAAAGGCCTTGGGATGCTAAGGAATTTGGACTAGAGCTCGAAGCCCGTGGGAGCATTTGAAGCATTGAAACAGGAAAGCAATATGGTTTTGTGGTTATATTATCGTGTTTTAAAAGTTAATTGTAGAAAAATACTCTAAATGCATGTAAGGAAAGAGAAGATAAAAATCACTCGTAATCCTATACTTGTGCAAATATGTGGATACTAAAGTCACAATTTTAGGAACCTCTGATGCAGCAGGAAATCAACATCAATAAACCTATTTATACATATTTTTAAGAGCTGAGTAATAGTCTGTTTCAAGGGATTGCCACAGTTCATTCAGCCACCTACTTATTTATGCACTTTTGCGTTGTATTTTATTTTTCATCCCTGAGGGCAAAGGTCCTGGAGTTCAGTTTCTGTGCACACATCCTTTTGTTCTCTTCATCGGAGTATTTTCTTTACTAGTTAACTTTGCCAGTTGATACGTGCAAAATGGTATCACTTTGTTTTAATTTACAAGTCTGTGTTTACTGATGAGGTTGAATAATTTATCATGTATACCAGCAGTGCATATACCTGGTCCCTGCCCAAGATGTCAGCCTTCTAGTCATCTGCCTCCTGCTCTCCCCACCCCAACCTTCCATTGCCTTCTTTCCTCTCCAGTGCATCTGGAGCATTCCTTTCCTTCTGTGGTAAAGCAGCTCCCCAATATCCTTGGCCTCTTCAGCTGCTCACATCTCTGTCTCCACCTCTGTTCTTGATTGGCTCAGTTTGATGGTATCCCAGTTCCATCACTCCTTGCAGGCAGAGACACTGACCTTTCCCTTCACTAAGTCCCCTATCTCTCAGCCCCTCTCTTCTTTATTTCTTCCTCTGACCTCATCACTTCAGCCACTCTGCTTGCCCAGCTGTCCTGTCCCAGCCTTCTGTCAAACCCCACCTCTGGAAGAATGAGCTCGCTGCTCTCTCTATTCCCACACAGCGATCTTCTGCTGGAGAAAATCACATACACACCCAGACATGCTGACAAGGTGGTTTACTCCAGGCTTTTTGCATCTATGTTCATCAAGCGAGATTGGTTTGTGACGTTTTTTTCTTTGTGCTACCTTCCTCAGGTTACTGCATCACAGTTATGCTTGTTTTTTGGTAAAATGGAGAAGCTTTCCATTTTTTCTCTGTTACTAAATAGTTTTTAAATAGCATGAGAGTTACTTATTCTTTGGTTTGAGGGAGCTGGCTCATGAACCATATGGACTAGGGGCCTCACATGGGGGTTGTTTTTGACTATTTTCTGTATTGCTTCTATCGATATTGGCAGGAATGATCTTTCAAAGATTTACCAACTACTCTGCCAGGGACAGAACATGGTACTGTCTGACCAAAGACAGTGGATGCCAACCAGAATGCCATACTGGTGTGGGTCAGCCAGATACCGGCACTACTTCTTTCTCTAGCTTTCCTTCCTTTTGAATTCAGTTCTGGTAATTTGTATTTTTCTAGAAAATTATCCATTTAGTAAAGCTCTTCTTTTTTTTTTTTTTAATTTTTTTTTCAACGTTTTTATTTTTATTTTTTATTTTTGGGACAGAGAGAGACAGAGCATGAACGGGGGAGGGGCAGAGAGAGAGGGAGACACAGAATCGGAAACAGGCTCCAGGCTCTGAGCCATCAGCCCAGAGCCCGACACGGGGCTCGAACTCACAGACCGCGAGATCGTGACCTGGCTGAGGTCGGACGCTTAACCGACTGCGCCACCCAGGCGCCCCCATTTAGTAAAGCTCTTAAAGTTTACTACATGGTCTTAGAGTTTTGCACAATCTTTTTTCTAAAATTTATTTTTCAAATTGGAAATATCTTTGCAAGTTTATGCCCTTTCCACTCAAGGCATAAGCTTTCTCCAAGCCTCTTGGTAATTAATACTTAATGAGAGTGGCTTTCTTGGAACCCTGCCTTATGTTTGGGGGATGAGTGGTTTCATAAAGGAACAGCTATGATTCTGTTCCCTTTATTTTGATTACCAAATATTTTCTGCATTTGATCCTCCAGAAAGAGAGGGAAAGACATTGATATTTGCCCAATGTTGAGATTTGAGATTGTCAGCGATAATGTGGGTCCATGTTCATACTCCTTTGTCCCATAAAATAAGGCCATGTTTTCATTTTGCCAGATTGGGTCCAGGGCTAAAAGGCATGGAGGTGGGGTTCTAAGAAGACAACCAAGGGTGCATCAACGGCTTTGGCCAGAGGTTTTGTTTCAGCTGTCCCCCTCTGCTCAGGGCTCTCATGGTATACACATCCCTGCCTCTCTGACTTTGGGAGGTGCTGCTATCTAGCCACAGTGCCAATGCTAGAAGGAAACAGGGAGCTACCTGAGACGCCACATGACAGGACGTTTTACTGCTATGTCAAATCTTTTTTTAAATTTCTTTCTCTTCTTGTGACAGTTCAGTGCTGGCAGGGGCACCACCCCTCTTCTCTAAGTGAATAGTGGGAACAAGTGCCCGGCAGAGCCAGCAACTGCCAGGGTTCTGAAGCTGTCTCCTGAGTCCCTTTGCACATCTGAGAAATAGCAATTCAGCAGTTGTTTTCTCATCCTTCATGCCTTACATGATGTTTACAGTGCTTTAGACCAGAGTTCCTCAGACTTTAACGTGCATTTGAATCACCTGGGCATCTTGTTAAAATGCACATTCTCATGCAGCAGGTCTAGGGCATGACCTGAGATTCTGCATTTCTAACAGGTGTCCAAATGATGCCCATGCTGCCCACTTATCATCTCACTTAGAGTAGTAAGGAGCTAAAGCTCATAAGGTACATTCACCTGTGCTTTATCATGGCATCCTGGAAACTACCTGGGAGGTATCATTATGATGCTTTTCATATGTGAAACCGTTGCCAAGAAGTGAAGCAACTGGGGTGCCTGGCTGGCTCAGTCAGTGGAGTGTGTGGCTCATGGTCTCGGGGTCATGGGTTTGAGCTCCACGTTGGGTGTAGAGGTTACTTAAATAAATGAACTTAAAAAAAAAAAAAAAGAAAAAGAAAAAGAAGTGAAGCAGTTGGCTCCAAGGTTCACAGCAAGTAGTGTTAGGGTTGGTGCTAGGATTCACCCTTCCTTTCAGCATAACTCTGAGAACTTGGTGAGTTCCCCATCGACCAGGGAGATAGGGCACATTCTCCCCCAGGCGAGGCCTCCCTCTCTCCTGTGGCATAGGAGTCCTTTGCAACCCTGAGCAGTGGTGTCACCGCCAGGATCCTGGAGGGACACATGGGTGACTCGAAGAAAACTGCCCTGTCGTTACCGGCTGCTAGTACAGGAGGCTCCAGCCTGCCGTGAGACTTGGCCCTGCTCTGGCCATTCCAAAAATTCTCCTCTGGCTGACAGTGTGGCTCCCTCCCCATCCCAGGCCCTCTGCTCTGAGCAGACTGAAAGAGGTGTGACTGAAAGTAGGTCAGAGCTACATTTCCAGAGGAGGCAGCTGGTGGGCGGTGGGGGGGGAGGGGGGGAGGTGACCATGTTCCATGAACCCTCCCAAGGCAGAGGCCTCTCCTGA